ATATTTTTTTTATTGTTGGATGGGTTGATTTCTTGATCTTGATTAATTGTGAGATAAAAAAAATCTTTCTTATCGATTTTTTCAATTATTTGAAAATTATTAACCTTAGTTTTAGTATTTTTATTTTTATTACTATTCGTGTCAGCCTCAATATTCATCCAGGCTCCAATATCGGCCTTACTTTTAAGACAAAAATGCAGCATTCTCCAATCAAAATATTTTCTATGTAGCATTATCATATAGCCTCAATATAGAATATTATGTGATTTACGAATTAATCGTACATTTCTTTTTTTAATATCTTAAAAATATTTTTGTGAGATTTAGGACTAATATTTATTTCTGGGTTTATAAACTCTCTTTTCATGTCTTTTCTTATTTTTTCAATTTTTTTTTAGTATTATGTTTGTTCTAGCACTCAAATCTTTCATTTTTTTCTCTCAATGAAAAATTTGTCCAATCCATAGATTGAATTTGAATGGATGAGCCGTGGATCATTTGATTACTTATTATCGAATTTTTTTCTTTTTTTAGCTTCATTCAACTCGTATATTTCTTTCAATTCAAATACTWGAATTGGGTTTCTTTGTGAAAGTTCTTTTATTGTTTGTTTTATAAATAAAATGTAAACTCGTAGAATTATAAAAAGCTTCTTTTAAAATTTTAAAATTTTTTTTTCGAGTTCTTTTATTAAAATTGGAATTGCTGAGTTCTTATAAAAAGCTATTATTACTTAATATTCATATTTTATATGGCGAAGACATCGTTTTCTTTTTTGTCTAAAAAAAACCTCATTGGCGTCGAGCGTGAGGGAATGCTAGACGTTTGGTAATTTCTCCTCCGACCAGAATAAAAGATCCCATTGAAGCGGCTAATCCCATGCATATTGTTTGTACATCTGGTCGCACAAATTGCATAGTATCATAAATAGCTACTCCAGGTATTACCCATCCACCGAGAGAGTTTATAAATAAATACAGATCTTTGGTATCATCCTCTATACTGAGATATACCATAAAACCAATAAGTTGATTCGAGATCTCGCTATCAACCTCTTGGCCTAAAAAAAGTAATCTTTCTCGATAAAGTCGGTTGATTAGGATAAAATTGTATCCCTTAAGAACHGTACGGGCACCTTTTGATGCATACGGTTTGAAAAAATAGCGAAAAAAAAAAGAATAAATGTTTAGATTCTATCCTTCTTTAGAGGACTCTTTCTAACTTCTAATGAAGGGGCTTTTTCTTCCCTTCCATTTTTCAAGAAAGGTGAGTTTTGTCCTTTGGCCCGCGGTCGTTTATCTATACTATAAATTTCAATAAATAAAAAACCAATTCATTAAATTTTTAATTTATCGAACTAACTTTTCATTGATGTATTGTTTCATCGAGATCAAATTTAAATTGCGATGTCATTTTCTTGTTCCCGAATGGTCTTCTTCAATTCTTTTAGGTTTATGCTCTACTCCGAGTAAAGATCTGCCCGATTTGGATTTGCACATATAGGACAAATGCCCCAATAGCATGTCTTTTTGCTACGACTTCTCTTTTTTTTCAATTTATTTCATGCTTTTAACCAAATATTCAACCAACGTATTCATCATATTACTCGATTGATTAAAAGTTTTATATCAATGCTATTTATAATTTATAAATAGAATATGATACAAGTAGTAATCATAGAATAGATAGATTACAAATTGAGTTTTTTCTAAGCRGAGCCTGGATACTTCATTTTTTTAGTACAACCAAGAAAACCATAAATTATTCTAATTGATAATATTAATCTGGATACCCAAAAAAATAGATCTAATTGCACTTCACGATCCAAATTTTTGATAATTCAATCAATCCATCTTGGGCGAAGAGAGGATATCTTGATCGGGGGAGAGAACGGGGAAATACCATATGACCCAWTATATCTGACAAGTCGCACTATACGTCAACCCACGATGCATCTTCCTCTCTAGGACTTCGAAAAGGTACTTTTGGAACACCAATAGGCATTAAAGCAAAGAAAAAATAATTAAGTACTATAGCTCACTTTGATGTGGAAGCGTAACAACAGGTTTATTGTCTTAATAAATAAGATGGGCCTTTATCAGATGTTATCTTTTAACATATTTTATACATAGACATATATTGAATAAGTTCATAAAAAAGGAAGACAAAATGAATGAATAAAGGAAAATTCTTGCGAATAAGTCTTTTGAATGATGAACAAATATGTATACATTCATTATTATAAAATAAGATCAATTCTCATCCACCATTGCACATTGGTACTTATCAAGTATAGAATAGATCTGCTTCTTTTTGTTCCTACGAATAGAATAGAATTGTTCCATTATTACTAAAAGAATAGACCAAATATTAATCCTTTCGCCAAGATAATCCCCTCAAAATGGGAGGTCCATAGCATAGTTTTTTTCGGTGCAATAAAGTTACATAGTGTCTATTTTTCGTTGATAAAGGGGTATTTCCATGGATTTGCCTTGGTGTCGTGTTCATACCGTTGTATTGAATGATCCCGGTCGTTTGCTTTCTGTTCATATAATGCATACAGCTCTAGTTGCTGGTTGGGCCGGTTCAATGGCCCTATACGAATTAGCAATTTTTGATCCCTTCGATCCTGTTCTTGATCCAATGTGGAGACAAGGTATGTTCATTATACCCTTCATGACTCGTTTAGGAATAACCAACTCATGGGAGGGTTGGAGTATCACAAGAGGGACTATAACGAATCCGGGTATTTGGAGTTACGAAGGTTTGGCCGGAGCACATATTGTGTTTTTCTGATTGTGCTTTTTAGCAGCTATTTGGCATTGGGTRTATTGGGATCTAGAAATATTTTGTGATGAACGTGCAGAAAACCTTCTTTGGATTTGTCGAAGATTTTTGGAATTCATTTATTTCTCTCAAGGTGAGGTTGCTTTGGTTTTGGCGCATTTCATGTAACAGGATTGTATGGTCCGGGAATATGGGTATCCGATCCTTATGGATTAACCGGAAGGGTACAAGCTGTAAATCCTACGTGGGGTGTCAAAGGGTTTGATCCCTGTCTCTTATACACATCTCTGTAAATCCTGCGTGGGGTGTCGAAGGGTTTGATCCTTTTGTTCCGGGCGGAATAGCCTCTCATCATATTGCAGCAGGTACATTGGGCATATTAGCGGGCCTATTCCATCTTAGTGTTCGTCCACCCCAACGTCTATACAAAGGATTACATATGAGAAATATTGAAACCGTCCTTTCGAGTAGTATCGATGCTGTCTTTTTTGCAACTTTTGTTGTTGCTGGAACTATGTGGTATGGTTCAGCAACTACCCCGATTGAATTATTTGGGCCCACTCGTTATCAATGGGATAGGCCCGCTATTGAAGTATAGTGTTGAACAGGTCAGTGTAACTATTGAGTTCTATGGCGGTGAACTCAATGGAGTCAGTTATAGTGATCCTRCTACTGTGAAAAAATATGCTAGACGTGCTCAATTGGGTAAAAAAAATTTAATTAGATCGTGCTACTTTGAAATCCRATGGGGTTTTTCGTAGCAGTCCAAGGGGTTGGTTTACTTTTGGGCATGCTTCGTTTGCTTTGCTCTTCTTCTTTGGACACATTTGGCATGGTGCTAGAACCTTGTTCAGAGATGTCTTTGCTAGGATTGACCCAGATTTGGATGCTCTAAGTAGAATTTGAGGCATTCCAAAAACTTGGAGATCCAACTACAAGAAGAGTGGTTTGATACAAGATTGCTCTGTCACTTTTTGTCTTTATTTTTTGATTTTGACATAGATAGGGTACCAAATAAATCTTGATTCGGATTGCTGACTTTTCATTTCTTTGACTCTTATCTTGGTCTTTTTTTTATCCGAAAAAATATCTCAACTAACCAGGTATGGAAGCTATAATTGTAAATCGAAATCAAATCTATGGAAGCATTGGTTTATACRTTCCTCTTAGTCTCGACTCTAGGAATAATTTTTTTCGCTATCTTTTTTCACGAACAGCCTAAAGTTCCAACTAAAAAGGTGAAATGATTTCTCATTATCTCAATTGAAGCAATGAGCCTCACGCTCATTACTTCAACTAGTCTCTGTGTTCCTCGAATGGATCTCTTAGTTGTTGAGAGGGTTGTCCAAAAGCAGTATATAAGACATACCCCATAAAACTTACAAGTAAACCAGATATAGAGATGGCAACTAGGGTTGCTGTTTCCATTATTATATAATTTCAAGACCACAATGGATCTATGATAAGATCATTTATTTACAACGGAATGGTATACAAAGTCAACAGATCGCACTTAATTAAAAAAATATATAGGATTATTTATGGCTACACAAACCATTGAGGATAGTTCTTGATCTAGTCCAAGACGAACTATTGTAGGGGATTTATTGAAACCATTGAATTCAGAATATGGTAAAGTGGCTCCTAGGTGGGGAACTACACCTTTGATGGGTGTCGCGATGGGTCTATTTGCGATATCCGTGTCTATTATTTTGGAGATTTATAATTCTTCCATTTTACTGGACGGAATTTCAATGAATTAGATTCGATTCACAAGAACCTCTAAATAATGTTTCAATAAAAAGTAAACTATGTAGGTCTCTGCTTTTTAGCCCACTCTTTTTTGGTAGTTCGATCGTGGAATTTCTTTTTTTTTTTATTTCCGGAATATGAGTGCATGACTTTTTATAATTGATCCTATGGATACGACAGAGAAGAAGTCGGTCATTTTGAGCTAGATGATTTTATCTCGTTGGATATTCAGTCTAGGCTAGTATCTGGAGCACAGAATATATGAAATAGATTACAAAATATTAGAACAAATATTAGAACTATGATTCGTACTTATTAGACCTTGTGGTCGGACTCCGAAAAAAGAGTTAGAAGTGATAAATTHAAAAAATTTTATTCTTTCGTTTATACTTATTTTGGTTAAAGGATAAACGTTTCTTTGTCTTTTTTTTCATTATATTCMGTCATTGAATAAGTGATAATCCAAGGGTTCTTACTCACGGAACTTTTGAACTTTTTTTGGAAGGTTTTATTGAATCATCGTGGTTCTAGTATGAATCTAAGGTTTTAATTGATTCATAGGGTCTTAACAAGAATCCCTATCAATAATAAAGAAAACAAGAGTACAGTCGCATTACACACAAATCAAAGGAAAAAATAGGTAAATAGAAGATTCAAGAGGCCCCTGATGATCAATATAAATACGAATGAGCHGACTTGATATTTGGGCATTATAACTACAAAGAAGACTTTTCGGATTTTGATTCTTTTGTATCTTCAAAGAAATATTGAATCATAGCATTAAGAAGTTTGAAACTTTTTAGTACACATATCCATTATGAGCTGTATTTGGGTGTTTCTGTTTGAGCCGTACGAGACAAAATTCTCATATAGGGTTCTCAGAGGGGGTTCCCCTTGGTTTACCTATCTCAATAAAGTGTATGATTGGTTCGAAGAACATYTTGAAATTCAGGCRATTGCAKATGATATAACTAGCAAATACGTTCCTCCTMATGTCAAYATATTTTATTGTCTAKGAGGAATTACGCTTACTYGTTTTTTAGTACAAGTAGCTAYGGGGTTTGCTATGACTTTTTACTATCGTCCGACCGTTACTGAGGCTTTTGCTTCTGTTCAATATATAATGACGGAAGCTAACTTTGGTTGGTTAATCCKATCAGTTCATAGATGGTCGGCAAGTATGATGGTCTTAATGATGATYCTGCACRTATTTCGCGTGTATCTTACTGGTGGCTTTAAAAAACCTCRTGAATTGACTTGGGTTACTGGTGTGGTTCTGGCTGTATTGACTGCATCCTTTGGTGTAACTGGTTATTCCTTACCTCGGGACCAAATTGGTTATTGGGCAGTCAAAATTGTAACAGCCGTACCGGAAGCTATTCCAGTAATAGGGGTCGCCTTTGGTAGAGTTATTATGCGGAAGTGCTAGTGTGGGACAATCTACCTTGACTCGGTTTTATAGTTTACACACTTTTGTATTACCTCTTCTTACTGTTGTATTTATGTTAATACACTTCCCAATGATACGTAAGCAAGGTATTTCTGGTCCTTTATAGAGAATAGAAATCATAGATTTGTAATAAGTTATTTATGATTACTTGGGGGAGGAAGTGTTGGGTTTTGGCAAAAGATTGGAATTAAAGTTGTCCCACATTGGAAGAATACAAGGATGGTCTCCATGTGCTAGAAGTTGTCCCAAGGAGGAGATGTGTTTCAACTACTATAAAAGGAGCTCATGGGCTTGGGTTTTAATCATCTCAATTGAAATAGTTTAAGCCTGATATACTAGCTCTAGTTAACTAAGCGGTATTTGCTTTGAAAGAGTGTTTTGTGTAATTGGGGTCGGCGAGAGAAATCTGTGTGATTGTAATAATTTTTCACATAGTGGATTTTCCCTTGTGGGCCGTGGTTTTTTCTCCGGTTTGGAGTTTTTCCACGTTAATTCTTGTGTTTCTTTATTTTATTACTTTCTTTAAATTTCTCAGTTATTTTCTGCTTATTCCTGCGGTAAAAGTAGGAGATTTTTCCCAACATGAATAAGAGTATTTCATTGGTGCAAATATGGATTATTGAAAAATAATACATGTATTTGGATATTTCCCTTCAACTCCACGAAATTTTATTCATTATTTTTCACTAATAGTTGAAGGGAATTCTTCGAAGAGAAAATGGATTATGGGAGTGTGTGACTTGAACTATTGATTGGGCCGTGTGGATATATGTCTTTTTATCTGCCACATTGGGATTCACAACAATGAGAAGTTAGAAAAACAAGAGGATGTGAGAGTATTTTAGTCTCTAAACAAGTACATAAAGTGAAAAAAGGTTAAAAAAAACATATTAATGAGTCATAAATACAAATTATTTGAAAATGGTTCAAAAGTTCATATTAAAAATTAGTTGGGGTAAAAAGAATCCCAATTTACACAATTAAAAAAATGAAAAAAAAAATTCATACTAAACAGAATTAAAGGAGAGTAATATATGCATATGAAGTATAGCATTAGTATATTTCATTCATATAATACTCATAATCAAATATATATGACAAATAAGGGATATCATTATATTCGACTTTTACTCTCTTTTAGGTGGGTTTGGCCTCCAAAGTATGCTATTTTTCCAAAATTGAAAAGTAGTTACTACTTTTGCAATTTTTTTTCCCTTCCGACTTCAACTACCCCATATCTTTATTTATCCGATATATTTTTTTTGGTAATTGTAGTGGGTAGCAAAAATATTTTATGTATTTCACAAAATGTCGTTAAGTTTTGAAATTTTTAAATAATAGCAAAATATTTGAATTTTTATTTTCGGAATTTTTATTGTTCTAATTCTACCCTTATGATATCTGATATACATCTAATCTATATCTTATGTATATCATATATCTGTATCTGATATATATCTTATGTATATCTGTATCTGATATATATCTTATGTATATCTGTATCTGATATACATCTAGTCTATATCTAATGTACATCTCATGTACCTCTGATATACTTTCGATATACATCTAATGTACACCTCAATCTGGTCAATATTAAGGTATTCATTAAAACAGTTTAAACTTGTAATCAAGTTAAACTCTCTCAATCCAAATCTTACAAGATTCTCATTTAGATTGAATATCGTGGGCTCTTTTCAAATATTTGGTGAATTAGATGCACTAATAACTGTAGTAGACATCTCCTAATATTAAATGACAGAAAGTGTCCAAATGATCAATTTCTAAAGATTTCTATTTGGATTTGTGCTAGCATCTTGAGAATATTATCTATTAATTCTAATTTTGAATATTGTTACACTTTTGTATTAAAATACCATATTTTATTCTTTTGTGAAAGTAAAATCATCATCATATCACATGTAAATCAGACTATCAGGTCAATAGTATATCAGACAATCATATCAATAGTATATCATTTCAGTAGTATATCAAACACTCATATCAATAGTATACCAGACGCTCATATAAATAATATATCGCATGTATATCAGATATACATATCAGTAGTATATCACACACTCATATCAGTAATATATCACATTTAACATGTGAGACTCCGTTTTTTTAAAATGTTATATTTGAAAAATCACAATGTATTTTGCTTATTTTGTTTTTTTTTTTTTCCTTTTTTTGCGGTATCTCGTTGGCTCGTTTTAAAAGCCAATAATAAAAATGGGTTAAAATGGAGATATGAAAATAAATATCTCTACGAATTAGAAAAAAAAGTGGGGTTTTTCTCCTTGGAGATAAACCCTAATCCTTTCCCTTCAATTTGCTCTGCGATTCCGATTCCGATTCATAGCTCCAGCTTACCAGGTGAGTTCTCTCAATCATTTCTCTCCATTAATGGATTCCAAGTTGCTTCTTTATTCGCCCAAAGCTTCGCTCTCTGTATCCGTGCCATTCATTCTCCCTCGCAAACCTTATTTTTCTGAGAATCCCTCTTTTTCCCTCAAATCGGAAGAATTTTGGGGTAGAAACTTGGATTTGCGCCACAGAATTGATAGTTCCAGTAGTAATTTAAGGAAATTCCATGTCCCGCTTCAGCCGATTAGAGCTGTTGTGAAGCGGAGGAAAGAGCTTAAGTTCGACAATGTGATACAGAGGGATAAGAAGCTGAAGTTGGTTATGAGGATTAGGAAGATTCTTGTTCAACGACCTGATAGAATTATGTCACTGAAGGAGTTGGGTAAATTCAGGAGAGATTTGGGTCTGGAGAAGAAGAGGAGGCTAATTGCATTGTTGAAGAAGTTCCCTGCTGTGTTTGAGGTTGTGGAAGAAGGGGCGTTTTCGTTGAAATTCAAGTTAACGCCGGAGGCCGAAAGGCTGTATTTGGAGGAGTTGAAGATCAGGAATGAGATGGAAGGATTGTTGGTTGTTAAGCTGAGGAAGCTACTGATGATGTCGATCGATAAACGCATTCTGTTGGAGAAAATCGCACATTTGAGGACCGATTTCGGTCTTCCTTTAGAGTTTCGCGACACGATCTGCCATCGTTATCCTCACTACTTTAGAGTTGTAGCGACCGGGCGTGGTCCGGCCCTCGAATTGACTCACTGGGATCCTGAACTTGCTGTTTCTGCAGCAGAGTTAGCGGAAGAGGAAAACCGAGCTCGAGAGTTAGAAGAGAAGAATTTGATCATCGACCGCCCTTTGAAGTTTAATCGAGTGAAGCTACCAAAGGGGCTTAATCTTTCCAAGGGTGAGATGAGGAAGATTAGTCAGTTTAGGGACATTCCTTACGTCTCTCCCTATTCTGATTTCTCAGAACTAAAGGCAGGTACCCCACAGAAAGAGAAGCATGCTTGTGGGGTTGTTCATGAGATTTTAAGCCTTACACTTGAGAAGAGGACTCTTGTGGATCATCTCACTCATTTCCGGGAGGAGTTTCGGTTCTCTCAGCAGTTGAGAGGGATGCTGATAAGGCATCCCGATATGTTTTATATCTCGTTGAAAGGAGATAGAGATTCAGTTTTCCTTAGGGAAGCGTATCGCGACTCTCAGTTGATAGACAAAGATCGGTTGTTAATCATAAAGGAGAAGCTTCGAGCGCTTGTTGCTGTTCCCCGGTTCCGAGGGAGAGGAGCTACCAAGAGTGACACAGATGGGGAAGAAACTAATCAGCCAGATGATTTGAGTGGTGAAGATTGGTCTGATGTTGATAACCTTTTGGGCGACGATGATGACGACGAGGACGATGGAGATGATACATATGATGATGGCTGGAGTGATGAAGATGATACCCCACCAAGTTTTGATGGAGATGGAGATGGAGAAGCCATAAATATTGTTTCAAGCAAGCAAAAACGGGTCGATAACTTGCAGAAGGTCGGTCAGAGTCTACTTACTCCCGTGTTACCCGATGGACGGTCCCGAGAGCGATGGTGAGAGGCGTAAACCTGTCTACTTTGTAGTATACTCTTAGACATCTGTAGGGAGGACTTGAATTCATGACTGTTTCTCTGTTGTGCAGCAATGGTGGTTCCTTGAATTTATATTATGCTTTTATTTAGTCCTTCGAATCAATGCCATCAACTAGTCCATCTCGACTTTACATTAATTCAATCAAAATTTGATTATATTCATTAAAACACAATTTAGCTAACAAAATTAGCATACGCTTTAAATTTATAATTTTTTTATTATTGAACTATGCTTACGTCACCCTCTATATTTTCTATATTGCAAATTAATAATTTTATTTTTTAGTTCGAAAATATCTAGGTGGGTTATAATTTTTCTTTTTTAAGTTCAAGGTTTATCTCACATCTTGAAAAGGGTTTTTTTTTTCTTTTGTATTTAGCCAAAAAAAAAATGATAAACCTATTTTGTTATTGATAATTAATAAAATTTTAAAAATATTAAATATAAAATTATTTATTATTAACAATTAAATAAGTTCTTTGATAAATTAATAAAATACCCCTATTTTCAAAAAAAATAAAATACCCTCTCAAAAGTTTCACTACTAAGGTTTAAAAAAATACCCTCCGAAACACTGTGGTAATAAATATGAAAGTTTCTTCTACCTTTTCTGTCAAAATA